CACTGGTGGGGTTCTGTGACATGTTGTTACCAAATTGGACCCATTGTTGTCAGGGGAGCCCCACATGCTATCACCAGAACAACGTCCCCCTCCTCCCCAGGGTCCCTCCATTCTAGGTCCTTTGCCCACCACCCTTAAAAATGGCTCTCAATGGCAGTTTGGTGAAAAGGAAAGGAAATATTTATTCAGAATTTATACAAGTTTTGAATAATGGCTAAATGTCACTGTTAAAATCCCAAAATCCCTTTAAAACAATCACCAACACACACAGTCTTGCCTTTTCCCTTCTTTTGCCCAGTCAGGCCAGTCACAGGTACCGTCCTTCAGAAGGAAAACAACAGAAGTCTGGAACTTGGCTAGGCAGGCCCTTCACGGTTCCCAGCAACATCTGTTGCGTCGCCATAATCTCCAGTTCTTAATTCAGAACCACGTAGCACCTTCTCATGGCCCACTAGCAAGAGTCCTTTCTCCCCTTTTCTTCCTGTGTGGCCTTCACATTGTTCCCCGAGTCTGTGTCCTGTTGTCTCTCTCACAGGCTCTGTCTCCCCTTCCCAGTTACATCCTGCTTCCTAAACTACGTGGTCAAGAAGCCTCTAGCATGGCTGCTGCACCTGGGTTTTAAACCCCTCCATGAATCCTCCCATGCAACCCCATCTCCCATGCCTGACTCCTTGGCAGGCGCTGTAACCAGGGAAGCTCCTTCCCAGTTCCCTCCCGGGTTAAAGTTATGCAAACCTTCTTGGTTAGCCTTGTTGATATGCAAAATAACCATCTTTGCATATGAAGTATGAAGCTATCCTCCTGTTATTGACATGCAAAATGACTCTCAATGGCTCTGCTCCCTGTCTCCCATCCCCCATGGCAGCGGGGGAGGGGGGAGGGGGGCGGGGAGGTGAAAATATCCTATATTTTTCTTGGACACCCCAATTTCTGGACCTTGTTACAAATACCCTTTGGGGGGCCCTGGCTGCGCCCTGTTACAATGTGGGTCTTGACTTCATGCAGGAAAGATTTCACAACAAAAATCCAGGTGATTTTGAGAGTACTTTTGTTAAAGCTGGGGAGAGTGAAGCAAGGAAGGGCTTAGGAGAGAAGAAGCAACAAAAGAGCCTAGGAGGGTCTGCTTTCACTCTCTAGGCACATTAGGGAAAAGAAGTGAGCCTAGACAAGGCTGCTGTCAGCTCACTGAGAAGTCAAAGAAAAGAGGGCCTTGGAGACAAGTTCAAGGGGTTAGCCCAGAACAAGCTGCTGCCGCCCATTGCTCCTTGGGTTTCAAGTCTCACGGGGACCATTAGAGTGTGCCTGAAAAGAAAGAAGAGGGGTAAGGGAGAAGTGAAGGCTTGCTTCTGGGAGGGAGAGCATACCTGGGTCCTTCATTTTGAGGGTTTTAAAGCCTGGAAGTTTAGAAGAGGACTTAGGGAAGGATTTCAACAGAATAATCATCAGTTTTACGCTAAAACACCAAAATGAGATTTAGCCCCCTGACTTTATTCATTCTTGGGCGTGGTTGGCACTAATTGATTTCTTCTATCTCCCTGAGTAAGGTGATTTAAGCGATTTACCCTCTGGTTGAGGAGAAGAAGTATAAACCATTTACTCTTAAGTATGCTTGGTTAGAGAAGATAGGATTTTACTAGATGGCCGTACACTGCTTCACCATTTAACCCTCTGTCTCAGTTTCTGTATTCTACTTCTGGCTTACTAGCCTGTCTCAGAGATACGGACCTAGAAGGGAAGGAGGCCCAGCAAAATCTTGCAGACAGCAACCTGGGTTCAGAGAACTAAGGTGTTGACACCCTCATATTTGTCAGTCCATTTAGAGTGTGGTGGGGTTGGGCTTGAGTGTAGGAGAGACATATTTCCAAGTGCTTCCAGCACTCCCTGCACCTGGCAAAGTCTCTGCAGCCAGAAGAGGTGACAGCACATTGGGAGTGAAGAGGCACCCAAATCAAATGATGAGGGGTCAGAGAAGAAACGTACAGAAGTCTGACCCTCAAGAGGCTCCAAGTGGGGGACTTCCAGGAAATGAATCACGGCTCCAGGCACAGGTGCACCTAAAACTCAGTAGCCATTGTAGAAGTGAAGGCCGATGGGTGGATATTCATCATTGAAGAGAAATCGACTGGTAGATGAGAGGAAGGCCATTCTAGGCAGTGGGGAACAGCACACAGGAGAGCAGAGCCAGCAACAGCCCACGTACACACACACACACATACATGTGGGGCGAGTCAGGAGGGGACTGTACCACTCCCACTTCCTCTGCCACCAGCAGCCTCAACGCCTGAGCCGTCTGTAAGGCTCAACCCTGTCCCCTTCCACCCCCCTCTGCCCTTTCCAGGAAGTCCCCCCACCTGGCAGCCTCTCCTTCTGCTGCTTCCTCCTCCTAGAAGCTTCCCCTGACTGTTACGCCTCCCTCTCCTTGACTCTCATCAGAACTCATATATTGACTGCCAAGACTATTACTTTGATGTTTCCTTAATTAATTATTTAATTTCATACATCCCTACGGTGTGTAATGTTGTTATTTTAACTTGTGTGTAAATCTGCCCTGGCTGGTGTGGCTCAGTGGATTGAGTGTCAGCCTGCACACCAAAGAGTCGCTGGTTCAATTCCCAGTGTAGAGTACATGCCTGGGTTGCAGGCCAGGCCTGCAGCAGGAGGCACACAAAATGCAATCACGCATTGATGTTTCTCTCCCTCTCTTTCTCCCTCCCTTCCCCTCTCTAAAAATAAGTAAATAAAATCTTTTTTTTAAAGTCTGTGAATTATATACCAAATTTATTGACCTATCACAAAATATGAAAATAATAAAATATGTTGCTGAATTGCCTCTTGTGTTATATAGCCTTTTGTGCAAAATAAAATTTTTTTTTTTTAATTTGTGTGTAAATCTTGTCTGAGTTTGATTGTAAGCTTCCTGAGAGTGGGAACTGTATAATTTTATTCTTTATTCTCTCCCGAGACTCTCAGCATTGATGGACGTATTAAGGGTTTAAGACAATAATTGAATGCATGATGAACCCAGACTACTTTGAGGCCTATTAAATTCTTACAAGTTTCAAGATTATTTCTAAATTCTAAACTTATGGGTTTTCTTTTTCTTTCAAAGTGGTCAGTTACAGGTTTTGATGGGAATTACCATATAAACAATAAACAAACTGCGTCCTAAGGGATGAATTTTAAGGTCTCAAACCCTCAATTTCATTTAGTCCCTCTTCAACCCCTACACTTGGTCAGTTACTTGGTTGACAGGCCATTCAGATCTCTGGACTCCTGCCCTTTGAACTTTTCTGCCTAAATACTCCCCTAAAGAATTTCAAAAACCTATATCCCCCTCACACATTCTTATGTCAATATCTAACATTTTTCATTATAAGGTTAAAGATTGATTGCAAAGGATATACCCTACAGGGGAATTGTAGTTACTTAGGTACTAAACCCATCACTCTTTTCTTTTTTTACTTTTTTAAGATTTTATTTTGAGAGAGAGGGGAAGGGGAGGGAATAAGAGAAAGAGAAAAACAATATTGATTGGTTGCCTATTGTAAATACTGGGAATCCATTCAAACTTGGACACCCCAGGAATCAAACCATCAACCAGTGATCTTTCAGTTTGTGAGAGGACACCTGACCCACTGAGCCACACCAGTCAGGGCAAACACATTGCTCTTTTCAATGTAGCAGATGGAACATAACATCACAGCACTTTTATGTCATTAACACCTTTTAAACAAGTGAACAAGCCTTGAACCAGCAAACTTAGCTCATTTCTTCTTCATTTTCAGTTGTTTTCCATTCCACTTTCCCTATAGAGTTTTATCCCAATGAAATTTTTTCATTGTATTTTTTTTTGTATTTTATTGTATTTTTGGAAAGTCCTTATTGTATATCTCTGTAAAAAAAAAAAAGTATGTAAATTGAAATTTATTTCCTATGACTGTAATACTGTTAAAAACTGTTATTTTGCAGTAGATTTATTATTACAATTATAACAAGACAATTGACCAAAACTACAAATATTGATTGTGGTTAAATAGAATAAACTTTTATTTAAAATGCATCTTTCAGTGAGTTGATAAGAGCAGATTTCTCTTTCCCATTGACTTCGGTTTGGTGGCTCTGGGAAGAGCTCCCTGGTCAGGTTCTGGGTGGGTGGGAGAGTTCAGACTTTGTCTTGTAGAAGAGCAATTTGTTACTGGAGGTGGGTGCAAAGGAGAACAAGTTCTCCAGCAGATTTATTTTAGAAAATGGGAACACATATTTATGAAAACTGATCCCCTTAAAACTTGGCCCTGTGCACACACCCCTGGGAATGTTTCCATGTCTCACGAGGGGTATGCAAAAACTATGAGCTACTGAATAGAGACGTAACTTGGCTTCTCATTCTTCAAAATTAGGGTCCAGAATTCTGTAAATGTGGGTCTGAACACCTTTGAAATTCTGACAGTTACATTTCCAACTCCCCTGAGACTGAGCTCCACATCCTGATACATACAAGGTAAGCCAGTAACTCAGATTACTTCCAGATCTCTGCAAGCATGTGACTGTTAGGAGGGACATAATCATTGGCAAGCAGCAGCCTAGAAAACATGGTTATTTGTCCATTTCATGGAAGCACCATCATTGTCTCCTGATGGTTCTCAGCTGCAGACCATCAGGTGGCAGCAGAGAACACAGAGCTGGGGTGCCGGGGAGCTGGGGAGCCGGGCCGGTGGCGGTGAACGAGGTGGGACTCAGATGGTCCCAGGAGCCTCAGAGTGGAAAGGAGGAGGTGCGGATAAGTAGATGAGAGGACTGGACCAAGGTTAGGGTGCATGTTTGTGCTATCAGAGAAAAAAACAAAAGGGAAATGTGGAGACAAAGTACGGATCTCAGGAGGAGATAGAAAATATTGAGAGTGCACCTTCAGTGTTCAGAATGCAATTGAGGGAATGAGGAAGGGAAGAATTCAGGGGAATCAGAAGGTAGAGATGGGCTTGGGTGGCCTCTGGGAGATCTGGTTATCTGTACTCTTCCTGGGGCAGATCAAGGTCTGGCTCCCCCTGAGGCCTGTGATCCACCTCAGGGGCAGGTGGCCAGGGGTTTTCTGGAGGCTGGGGTCCTGCTGGCCAGGGATCATCAGGCCAGGGAGTGTGAGGCGGATCAGTTCTAGGAGGCTCAGGTGGCCAGACTCCAGATTCAGGCAGGTCTCTCCAGGGACGATTAGAGCCTGGAGGTGGAGGGTCCTCAAAGAGAGGGGGTGCTCCTGGCCAGGGGTCACCAGGGATTGGGGCACCCTGAGGCAATGTTGGGGAGCCCTCCTCCTGTCCACCCTCTGTAGGTGGGGGAGAGAGGTGGTCTCCACTGCCTGAGATGCCTATAGAGGAGGAAGGAAAAAGGCAAAGAGTAGTGAGGGCCAGATCCAGCCCCCAGCCAGCTACAGACCCAGGTAGCACAGCCTGTCTGGGATGGAACACAGCGTGAGCTGAGCCAACAGACCTCCGAAGTAACTCTCAAAGAGCTCTCCACACACTCACTTTTCTTAAAATAATATAAAGACACTGTCCTGAGCCATTAACTTGAACTTTAAACTGAGAGGACCCCCAAATAAGCTCTTTCCAACTGTGATTGGGTCATCCCACTGGTACAGCCCCTATGCTGGTCTGCAGCCCCCAAATGGTCTACATGTTGGCCCTATGTGGCACCTCATGACCTCCCCCCTCCTTCACACAGACCTCAGCTCCACACATCTGAATTCTGACCTAAATGGCCACATGGAGCTACCTCCCATCCAGTAAGACATGTACTCTGAGCTACATGCACTTCCCGTGTCCCTTTAGTTCTTCCCATCATGCAAGTTCCCAGAGTCTCCTCCACCCCTATGCATCCAGTTCACCCCCCTCCTTCTTAGTGGTCACCCTCTTCTCATCTTGACCCTCCCGCATCACCCCAAATTGCACCCTGGCCTCTATTCCCAGCCCACCTCTAGAGTACAGGCAAAGGATCAGGATCCCCAGTAGCCTCCAGTCGAGCATGATGGCTGTCTCCTGGCCCCTAAAGTCAGGGGTGGGCTGAGCCTGGGTGCCTGGGAACCACAACAGGCTTTATAGGGAATTAGGGAGAGGAGGAGGCCAATCTCTGGGGAGGAGCCAGCCCAGTGACACAAGGAATCCCATTAGAACCAAACTGGTCAAACATGTTTGGAAGGTCATAGCTGATGTGTAACCTCTGAGGTTGGCATCCCTTATTTTAGTCCCCAGCTCAGGGCCCAGCCGACCCAGCTCTGTGGATGACCTAGACCTTTGTTACCCCACGTTTTCACATCCTGCTTGTACACACCCTGCAGCAATCAATGCCTGCTTGTCATCTCTGTAATCACAGGGACTTCCACCCTTCATTCCTCGAAGCCACTGGAAGCCAAGGAATGGGAGCAACCAGGCATGGGGAAGCACTTTAATTACAGAGCTGGGGCAGGACACCAGGGAGCAGGGTAGGTCCTTTTCAACGCCTGGGATGCAACCAAGAGGGTCTCAGTTAGTACAGAGCCTCCCCCACTCCTATGCCCCACTTTGAGCCCTCCTCCTTGAAATTCCTTGAAATTCTCCCCCCACCCCAACCCAGGACCCATTTGTGCCTCTCTCCAGCAGGGGACCTCTGAGGAATTTCATCCAGGAACCACCTGGGCTCCTGCCAGTGAGGAAACATGAGGACATCCTGATTCCTTCTCCCCAACTCAGAGCTGGTTCCATCAGTCATGGGCCCAGAGCCTCAGAAAAAGGCCGCTTCACTACCATCATCCCAGCATCTTCCTCCTCCCGCCTCTGAACCCCCTGTACCCTCCTTGTGCTTCTCCAGCCCATCCCCGCATCCTTGGCTCCAACTCTGCCTACCTCCTCCCTGCCCTTATCCTTTAGGTCTCAGTCAAGGCATCTAAGTCTCTCAGAAATCCTGCTAGAATTTTCCCTCAGGAAGGAAAATTCCTCTGCCTTCAGGACTAATGAACCTCTCAGAAGTAGTATGTCCAAAACAGAACTCACTTCTTCCCCAAGTTGTTCCCCATCTCTTCTCTCCCCAGCAGTAAGGGACACCACTGTCCCTCAGTGGCTTACCTCCAAGATGTCAAAACACCCCACCTCCATGCTGGAGCATCTCTCCCAGCCTCCCCCACACCCACAGCTTTCATCTTATCCACACCCACAATCTTGTCCCCCCACAGCCAGCCAACAGGGCTCTTAGAAAGGTAAACCAAATTGTGTGGCTGCTTCCCTGTTTAAAAAGTCCTGAGGGCCCTGGTCAGGTAGCTCAGCTGATTAGAGCATTATCCCAATACTCTAAGACCGTGGGTCTGATCCCTGGTCAGGGCACAAAACCAAGTGTGTAAGTGGAACAACAGACTGACATTTCTCTCTCTCCCTTCTCTCTCCAAAATCAGTAATTTTTTTTTTTTTTAAGGTACTGACAGGCCTTCTCTTAACGCAGACTAAGTGCTCCTGCCCTGCCCTGCAGTGCCCTCTTCTTCTGGCCCTGCCTGTGGCCTGAAGGGACTCCTCCCAGTGGCAGCAAAGCCTGCTCCTTTCTACTCAGGTCTCAGCACAATGTCCCCTCCTCAGAGGCATTTCCTGTCCCCTCACCTAATGCTGCCCCAGCCCACAGCCAGCCTCTGTCTCATCACTGTTCTTTATAGTCTCCTCACAGCATTTGTTTGAAATGCTCCACTGTTCTTTAAGCGCTTGTCCACCATCTGCCACTCCCACTGAGCGTCAGCACGTGGAGCAGTGACCTGCCTGTCAAGCCCCCACCGGGGCCCCTGAGCTTGGACACTGCCTCGCTCAAGATTGCTGTTGAATGTTTTATCTTCCTCACTCTGGCACTGATTACCTTCTAGAGGTAAAGAGTTTTAAACTAGAAAATAAAGAAAACCTGAAGCTTCTCAAAAAACTTCCCAAGCAACCTAGGAAAGGGGTTTTGAAAAAGGTACCACACCTAGAGAAAGAGCTGTGTATGGGAGTGCCTCTCACATTTCCTAGAGAGATGGCTGCACAGAAAAGTCCCTTGTGTTACCAGAGACAACATGGCCAGGCAATAGCTCCTACTGTAGTCATCTTTATTGAGGCACAGAATTCACAGACACCTTGGTGGCTGGTGAACCAAGGAGTGAGGGTTTGTGAACCCCACAAACCTCACCCCACTTCTCCATGTTCCTCCTGGCCCCCTGGGCCTCCCAGAGCTCCCAGGTGCTCCCAGCACCCAACTGCTCAGTGGTGGACAGAAGCAGAAGAGTTCTGGTTGTCTCCTTGAGAAATAGCCTCCTCTTTGGAAATGGCCTCACTCAGGCCCTGCAGGTCATCAAGCAGGACACAGAGGGATCCTGAGAAAGAAGACCCCAAAGGACAGGAGCCAGACAAGAGAAGGTCATCATGGTTACGTGCACAAGAACAGGGCTGCCACAGCATGGGAGGGTTATGAGGGAGGAGGTTCTCTGGTTCAAAGCAGGCATGAATAAAGGAGGCTGAGGACCTCCCAGGGCCACAGAGAACAAGGCTCATGCATTCATGTCTGGGGCAGAGGTTCCAGAAGTGCCTCCCACCTGTCCCTTCCTACTTAGACCATTACCTTTTATGGTCTTCCTGGGGGGGAGTGCAGCTGCTGGAAGTCCACGTACTGAAGACACTACCAGCCTGGGGCTAGACTGCACAGACTTCCCCTTATCCCGGGAAGGATGAGATGCCAACAGCCGCTGCTGCTTGTAACGGGAGAGGAGACCCTCCTGCTGCAAGGTGGCCTGGGAAGGAGAGGATTAAATACCACCTAGCCAGGGTAGAGCCTCCCCATACCCTTTCCACACCTCTACTCCCCAACCAGCCCCCAGCCCCTTCGTCCCCTACCAGCAGGAGATTCTTGTCCCTCTCCAGCTCTTGCAGGCGCTGGGTCAGCCGCAGCCCCTCCTCTTTCCGGGCCTCCTCCTGCAGGCGCCTAAGCTCCTGGTCCCGCTCCTTTTCTCTGGTGGCTCTGCGCTGGATTTGGCGCAGGGAAACCACTATGCGGAACCGGGGCACAGAGGGGAGAGGTGTGAGGCAGCCCAGAGGCAGCAAGACACCATGAAAACAAGGCTGGAATGATGGGCAGGACCACTGGGTCCTGGCTCTGTGTCTGTCCCTTCTGCACAGTGGGAGAGGCAGCTGCTGCTCTAAGACCCTATGAGTCTGTGAACCCACAGCTCCTTCCCCATCCCAACCTTCCCAGAGTCCCTTAGGGGAAATCTGGATAGGGACTGGGTATTAGATTTTGTGCAATTCATGTTCATATTCTTAAAGGGTGACAATGGTACTGTGGTTATAGAAAATTGTTCTCTTTGCAGTAGATGAAGGTCAACAGTCATGATGTTTGTAATTTAAGTAATTCCCCAGAAATGTGTATTTCGATGTGTGCGTACAGAGAAAGAACAAGTGTGGCAAAAGGTGAGTGAGCGGCATGGGTGTTCATCACACGATTCTTTTCATTTGCTATGTGTTTGAAATTTTTCCTAATAAAGAGTTGGAGGTGCCCTGGCTGGTGTGCTTCAGTGGATTGAGCACTGGCCTATGAACTGAAAGGTTACCGGTTCAATTCCCTGTCAGGGCACATGCCTCGGTGTCCTTGGTTGGGGGCATGCGAGAGGCAACCGATGTTCCTCTCCCTTTTTCCCTTCTTTCCCCTCTTTCAAAAAATAAATAAAATCCTTAAAGAGAGAGAGAGAGAAAGAGTTGGAGGTAATCAATGGTGGGAGATGTTAGATGGCAGTTGCCTTTGTGGAGGGGAGTGACTAGGAGCTGTTCCGAGGCTGGTCACTTGGTCTCGGTGCTGACAACCTGTGTGTTTGCCACCTGAGAATTCAGCTGTGCTTATTCCCCAGTAACTTTATCACCTGCATACTTCACAGAAAGCTTTACAGAAAGTTTCTAAAATAACCTATGTCTCCACACTTCTTGGTCCACCCTGGCAAACCTCACCGGCCTTGGCATGCTCCCTCCGAGCGTCATTCAGTCTCCTTTCTGTTTCTGAGAGCTGTTCTCGCAGCCGGGATTCCACTTCGGTCACCTTCTCTTGCAGAGCTGGGGTGAAGGCGTACATGGGGTGTGTGGGGAAGCCATGGCTCATGTCCCTACCCCTACACACCCATCTCCCCTCCTGCACACCTTGCCCGTAGACTTCCTGCTGCTGGGTCAGCTCCTGCCGCAGACTGGCAGCTTCCTCCATGCTCTCCTGCTGGCCCTGGCGAGCTGTTTCCAGCTGCAGCCCCACACTGGCCAGGGACTCCTGGGTCTGCCGCAGCTCTTGCTCCAGCTGCTGGGCCACTGAACTCAGCTGCTGCCTCTCTGCCTCCCCTGGGAAGGGGTGGGCTCACACAGGCCTCTCCAAGTCCTAGACCCCAGCTCTTCCCTCCTCCTCTCCATCCCCAGTGTACCTGACTCAGGCCCCTGCTGAAGCTCAGGGACCCCTGGGCCAGGCGTACCTTGCTCCCGGGCTCGGCCCACCTCTTGCTGGATGATGTGGGCACTCAGCTGCAGTTCTGCATCCAGGCGATTCCGTTCTTCCCGCAGCTGCTCCAACTCAAGGCTCACATCCTCGGCTGGTGGGGGCGGTGGGCAGCTGAGACAGAATGAGGGAAGTCACCCAGCTGGCCGACCCTTACACCCCATCCTTTCTCAGTCCTGTTTGTTTTGGGTCCCAGCAACCAACACCTGAAAGCCCCACCACCAACATCCAATCCACCTCCAAGTGCCCCAAACATCACCTGTCCTGGCGCAGCTGAGCAAGGGTCAGTTTTCGAGCCATCAGGCCTGGGGGAGAAAAAGGCAGACAGCAACAGAGAAGAGTGTGTACAGGAAAAGGGAGACGGAGTAAAGGAAAAAGGGAGGCACGGACTGATGAGAAGGCAGGAGGATGGATATGGGCAACAGAGCTGGTGGGGCAGGGCATGGCTGGTCTGGCAGTTGCCTACCCACCCCGAATGGTGTGAACCTTGCGGACAGCATAGCTGACTCGGCTGCTGAGGCTGGGCAGCCGGGTTGTGGCCCGCTCCACCTCGGCCATGGTGTTCTGGAGCCAGGTCTGAAAGCTGGACAAGGTACAAGGCCACTGACCCTTCAACCCCGTGTCATTCCCCAAAGGACTTGACCTGCCTCTATCCTGTCCTGCAATGAAGGTCGGGGCAGCAGGGAAGGGAAATTGGAGCCAGGAAAAAAAAGCTGCAGCCAAGTTGTGTCAGGCTCTCAAGCCAATAAAACAGGTAAACTTGAGGCTTAAGCCCTCCAGTGCTTGTCAGATAAAAATGATGCAATTGCTCATTAGAAAAGCACAGCTATTCCTGGTCCCCAAGTCTATAGTAAGCTTTTCCTCTGGGTCCCAGCAGTACAAACAGTCATGAGGTTCATGGGACACACCTTATGGGACTTTCTAAGGGACCCTTGCCCAAAGACAGCATTAAGTGACTGGGTGTCTATGCGTAAGAGATCAGTGAAGGCCAGGTGCCCCAGGTGGGACTGACATGGCCCCCTCAGGTAGGAGGCATGGCGTCCAGGGACAGGGCTGGAACTCCCCAGGGAAGCCAAGTCTTTGCGAACAGAAAAACAAACAGAAACAAAGGCAGAAGGTTGTATCCCAACAACACAGCAGAGACCACTTCTACCTGAAAACTGTTTGGGTGATTCCAACACCTTCTGTGGCTCTTATTAAAGCCATGTTCTGATAAGGCCTCCAAGCCATCTAAAGACTATCTAACAAACCTGGTAACAGGCCAAACTTGGGGTGTTTTAATGCCTCGTGGACATGTTGGCAATTAGCTATTAGCAAGATCCATTTCAGTGATGTCCTGGTTCTAAAAGAAAACACTGTCCACACATGCCTTTCCGTTCTCCTACA